ATGTATTTTAAAAAGGAGAAAAAAAAACACGAAAAGCACTTTAAGATTTTTATTTTTTTTCTCTTAAAAACAAAAATGAAAATTTTTGAAGCCATTAAAATCGAAACAGTTATCGAAACGAGTTTTTGTTATTTTTAAAAAACAAAGAACCAAACTGGCCTCAAATCTCTCAAATTCAAAATTCACATTCATTTACTGTTAAATCTAAACATTTTTAGTTTTTCTAAAAGAGCAAAAGTTATTAAAAATGCGTCTTTAGATTTTTTTATAAAAGGTTAAATATATATTAAAAATAATATTTACAATAAAATTAAAATGTCATAACCCTAAAATAGAACTAATAAACCAAGAAAAACAACTACAGGCATTAAAAAAAAAAACATCTCATTAGAAATCACATTGAACATATGACTTGTGAATTTTAATCAGTAAAGCATTCATGACATTATCCACATGTAACCAACCACTTGGCAGATATCTTACCTAATTTTACTTTATTTCTTATTTTAATCGAATAAGATTTTTTAGGTTAAAAGTTAAAAATTTAACATTTTTACAGCACTTTTAAATTTTAAAATATTAAATCAAAATATAATAAAATAACAATGCGATTGTTGCTTGCTCATAATGGAGTCCACTCGTTTCCCCTAAAAACAGCAAGGCATTACATTTAAAAATAAGAATAAGATATTGAAGGAGAGAAATATGAGACACACCGTGTCTGCATGTTCAGGTCTCATCGTTACAAAAATACACACACACACACACGCGACACGAGATCTATAGTACGTTGTAACGAAAATAAAATTGGTAGATGGTACAATGAATTTGTTAGAATAAATTCAGGGAGATTAACAGACAGGTGTTGGTTCTAAAAAAAAAATTATAATCACTTAAATACGAAGTCTTGAATTTGAGTCTATGTAATTAGATTTGATAATATTTGAATCGATTTAATCAAATAATCATATAAAAAAAATATTCAGACTGAGCTTTTATATTGGTATTTTCTTTTTCAATCCTATATAAATCAAACAAATCCTACGTACAAGTCTAGATGATCTTTTTCCCTCCCAATTCATGGACCTGACAAATTAAATGTTTAACTCTTTATTTAATTATTTAAAACTTGTGTGTGTGTGTGTGTGTGTGTGTGTGTGGGTGTGTTTTTAAAAAACGTGTCTATTTTATAATTAAAAACTAAATGATCAATCGCGTCATCGTAAAAGTCATCGGAAATGGGATCTCTCTCTCTCTCTCTCTCTCTCATGCATGCATGGCTGTTCAAAACTTGTTTGATCTATCGACTTTTGCTCACAAATTAAACATGGAATCAAAATGAAAAAAGCCAACAAATGGAGTAACGATGTGAATATATTAATTAACAAGTAAAAGTGACATGAACGTTTAATTAATTGTTCGCATTTCACATGATTTTCGGTTTTTCCAAAAGAAATTAATTTGAACTTTGAAAAATCCTTGTGATAACAATAGTATATATTTATCTTATTTATAAGTTATTTTTATCAATTTTATTAATATAAATATAATAAAAGTATAAAAAATAAAAGTAAGTAAATTTTAAACATAATTCTCAAGTAAAAAAAAAAAATAAATAAACAATATAATATTTTTTTATCTTTTCTTCTCTTAAAAGTAATTTAGAGATTTTAATTTAAAATAAAATTATCTCATGATGATTTATAAAATAAATTAGATTATATTTTTAAAAGATGATTAATATATAAAATTAGAGGAGTACTTATTGCTGCTTAATTACAACTTACAACAGCTCACAATTACTACATTATAAGCAGTTTAGAAGAAAAATTAATTAATTATTCTTAGAGGAAGAAAGCAGACGCAATCAAAAACTAAATCTTCCTTTTTGACTAAGTCTTTTAAAAATTGAAAGACAGGATGATAATGGTAGTGACCACCTCGGCGATCATTTTGGATTCGAATTCAACTCCTCCACCTCTAAGCTCTTAATGATTAAAATAATATAATTTAATTAAAATATATAAAAATATTTATATATAATTTTAAAAAGAATTATATTTAAATAAAAAGATATTGATTTAAAAGTAAATGGTTTGACAAAATATATTTACTAAGTTACAAATCTAATGGACTATTATTTTCTCTTTTTTTTATTCAAAATGATGTTGTTTCAAACTTAATAAGAGAAGGAAAAAAAAAAAATAACCGATTAACTCATTCAAAACTTTTGATCATCACATAAATGGCTTGGATTTTAGTAAGATGGATACATGAATCTAATTTTCTTATCCAATTCCTTTGTTGATTTTCTGTCTCTTGGACATATTTTTCCTCCTCCAATCTCTATCATATCATTTTCTTTCATTTTTTTTAAATTCTCTATCTCTTCTTTTTCAATGCTGAAAACAAGGGGCTAGTTCTCTCTTCCCCTCTCTCCCTCTCTCTTTCAGAGTAAAATACTCTCACTCCTTTTATTTTACTTTAATTACACATAACTTCCCCCCTCTACTTTAAAAACATACAATTTAATTCCATTTGTTAACTCGGTTAGAAATATTTTAAAAATTTATTTTTAAATTAAAATTTATATTAAAGAAAATTTTATTTACTAATTTAACCCTCACCCTAAATTATATTATTTTGACAGTGACATAATTTAATTGTTAAAAACGTGTTTACAAATTTTAAATTTTAAATTTAAATTATTTATATAATTTGTCAAACTTATATCATTTTGTATGATGTGACAAACAAACATAGCAATTTTAAAAAACACAAATACATAAGTTTCAATAAACTTGATAAAAAATAAAATTTTATAATATGATAAAAATACTAAAATTTATAATATAATAAAAATGTCAAAATGTATTTATTATATTTTTATTTGTATACAAAAATAGTTTTTTTTGGCAAATATAGATTTTTATATACTCCATCCATTAAAAAATAGAAGACATTTTTAACCGAATCTTACCTCTCAATAAAGTAGTTACTTACTTTTAAACTAATCCTATCTTTTTATATTTACCCTTATGAAATACCCTATAATAAATATAAAGTCATTCATCAATATAGGCACTTTTAAAAAAAGGTAATATTACAATTTAAAAGACTAAAAATTAAAATACTTTATATTTTTGAATGTCTAATTTTTTAAAAAATATCTTACATTTTTAAATGAAAGGAATAATTTTAATGTTAAAAAAATGCATTTTGATAAAATTTAAAAGTTTAATAATTAAACTGAACAATCAACTAATGTTATATAATCTCAAATATATAAGAGAAGTTTATATAAAATATAGTTTAATTTTAAATGAGTTTTATATAAATTTTTAAAATAAATGAAATGTTTATGTAATTAAGACATAACAGAAGAAAGGTCAGTATATTTTACTTTTTTTTTTAAAGAAAATTATGGGGAATGGCAAAAGAGATTGAAGGTCGCGGGAATCAATTGACTTGGCTTTTTGTGGAAAGTTCGAGTTCAAGTTAACAGTAGTGGAGTTAGGATTGGAAATTAGAGGGTGTAATATAATTTAATTTAAAAATTAATATTTTTTTAAAAAATAATAATTACACTAAGATTAAAATTGTAAAAACATAAATAAATTATATATTATTTTTTAGAAAATTATACTATACATATTAATATGATTTCTTTTGTAAATATATATATTTTATTTTATTTTAATAATTAAAATATTACGTATCTAATAAAGTTTTGACCATAAATATTTTTTATTTAATTTAAAAGATATATAATATCAATAATAGGGGCATAAAGTTGTAAAATCTATACACTCTATTTTTAATTTTTTGTAAAATGGGGGAGTGTATTTATCCACTCTTATCACCAGTGGCTCCGCTACTTCTCAGCTGCTTCTATTTCAAGTGGATTCCTTCGGATCTTTGCTTTTAATTGAAACACTTTCAATCTTTTACTAATATATATTATGAATAATAATGCAATATCAAATATTTTATTTTAAATATGTAGTTTTATATGAAAAGAAAATGCGAAATTCTAAATCACTCACGTTTACGTATATGAAAAATAGAAAATGGGGCGTGTGAATGGGTCTCGCCTTTAAACTATGTTGGGCTTTTTTTAAGCCCAACCCATCCATTTCCAAGGTTTGAGGGGTTTGTGATTTCTGAGTTTTCCATTAAAGAAACAATTTCATTTAGAAATCAACAAAATTAGTGCTTTGGAGGATTTACTCTGATGCTGTATCATGATTTTGCAACAGTTATATATATATATATATATATGAAGAAACTTTAGATAAAATACCTTGTAATTAAGATCATGAATAATGCATACTTAAAAAAAGGAAAAGATTTAGATAATTAGTACTGTATACTTAATATATTTTTATGTGGTCAAATAAAAACAAATGGATCTTAAAGTTTATTAATATTAATAAAAAAAATTTGTTATTGAATAAATAATACTCCATTCATTCTAAATTATAAAACAATTTGAAATAAGATTACACATATCAATAAGATTCAATAATGATATTTTAAAAACTTACTTTTACGAAACAAAATTAAGTTTTAAAATTATCATTCATTTAATACAGCTTTAAATCTACACACTTAATTATTGAACTACATCCATTTCAATTCTCCCTTCTTTTGAAGGGTAATATCAAAAAAATATTATTAATGAAACTTTAATTTTGTTAAATTGTTTTATATTTTGGGGACAATGAAATACTTTTAAAATTGTTTTATAATTTAGGAAGAAGATGATATATAAATGAATTTTACATCTTGTCATGGGGGGACTGATAAGTTTGGTAACTTTCTTTTTAAAGGAATAAGAAAAAGATTTAAAAGTCATTCCTTTGAGCAATGCACTTCATGAAGATAAAGAAAACACATTCACTGAAACTTCCTTAACACATGCAATCCATGCGCAGAAAGCACCTTATTCTCTTCACGAAAAATGCTAAACCCATGAATCTTTACAACCACATGCAACATCAATTAAATCTTCATGAACCATCAGACCAATGTATTTACCAAATAAAAGAATATGTTTGTATAATTTGAATGGAATCTGCAAGAAAGAGTCAGAACAAGGCTTTTTTTTTTTTTAAACAATGCCACACCCATGTGCGCATCTTTGAGGCCAAACCAGGCTTCATGCCATGTAAAGTAAATTAAAAAAATTAATAATAGTAAAATGATTTTTTTTTTCTTATTTTGAGATATTTAATTTAAATTTTTTTATTTCCAGTTGGGCCTCTTACCGGGCCTGTCATATGGATATGGGCCATTTTGGGCCCTAGGAAAAAAAAACCTCAACGGTTGAATCTTTGAGCGTAAGGCAAACCGGACATGCTCGGTAATGGACGTTGCATTTGATACACAAGCACAGATGCCGACACGGCAATACCACCACCGACGCCACCCTCTCCCCACACCCTCTGCATTCGGGTCCGGTCGGTTCGACTCGGTCCGGGTCGACGTAAGCCGACTCGGCGTCATCGGCGCCCGCCGCGCACGATAGCCCGCCCTCGTCTCTTCTTTCTAAGGCCGCTGCGCCGTTCATCATGGCCTGTTGCAGTTGGGCCTGTAAGGAAGCGGCTGTTGCTTCCTGTGCTTTTGCCTTCGCCTGCCAAAGCTGTGCCTCGGCGCTGAGTTGAGCGGCGCGTGCCTCTAACTCGGCGTTCATGCGCGCGACCTTTTCCACCTCTAGCTCTCTCTCTCTCAACCGCCGCGCCACGGTTTCTTCCGCCGTGGTTAGTAGCGCTCGGTAATGTCTCTGCCTTTTCTCCGCCAATGTCCGATGCAATTCCGCTTCCTGTTATTTTTCAAGCACCATCAATGAGTCCGGATCCTCTGAATTTGGTGGTATTAAAGTTCCTCTGAATTTAAACATTTGAAGAGCAGAAAATAAAGTTTTCATAAATCGGGGGGAAAGCGATCAAGAATAATTTCAGAGAACCGTTTTACACCAAAAACTGAGAGAGAAGAAAATCTAGTTTGCATAATGGAGACGAAATTGTTTTGAACGGAATACCTGCGCTCGAATGAATTGGTCTATTTCATCAGCATGTTGTTTGATTTGAGAGACAAAATCTTGAGAAAACGGAGACGATGAGGATAAGTAATGAGAGAAATCTTGGGGTGATTGCTGGTGGTTGTGAGGCAAGTGAAGTGGCCGGCGATCGGCGAAGGAGGATAAACGGAGGCCGGTGGAGACGCTATTGTGGTGGTGGTTATGCAGCTGCGAGAGGTCTACGAGTTGAGGAGATTGCAGAGAGAGGAATTCACAACATTGGGGCTTGCGTGAGTAAACCCCATGGACGGTCTAGTTTCTCTTGCTCTTTTTCGAGGATTAGCACCTGCAGTGTGAATGAAACCATCAAAATAAGCACTCAGAGATTGCCTGTGTGTCTGCGGTAACAATGTTTTTACTATACAATCTGGGAATTGAGGAATACCTCCATTGTTGAATAAGGCATGAGAGTGATTAAGTGCTTCTGCAGGGGGCAATGGAGAGTCATAATCTTCTGGGAAGTTTCTGTCATGAAAAGAACAAAGAAATCAATATGATGGAAAATCAAAGGTGCGTGTGGTGGGGTGGGAGATGAAGGGAGGGAGTGAAACAAACCTGGGATTGAGGAGGAGGACGTTAGAAGGATATTGAGCCTGAACGGCCATGAAGAAGTGGGAGGAGTGATCAGAGAATCATGAGGAGAGGGCAGTGATATAAGAAGAGAAGTAGCAGTGGGAGAGAGGGAAGAGATAGATGCCAAGGAAGGGAATCAACCCAATAGAGAGAGAGGGGAGAGAGAGAGAATGCTTTATTGCTTATGCGTCTCTGGTTGTGGCAGGATCCTGAGGGAGCCTTTGGTTCTTTTTGAGGGAGGACGATTCTCGTGTGTTTCTTCATCCCTCTATTAATTTTTAAAAACCCCATATTTATATCTAATTTAATTAATTAACAGAAAATCATTCTCAACTTCTATCCCACAAATCTAAACACAGAAAAAAAAAAATCCCGTAAAATTATAAGATTACTCTGGAACCTTTTTTTTTTTTTGGTTGAAGTTGTCAATTTACTGGTCAATATTGTTGCTTAATAACTCTATTAACAACAATCTGGAACAATTTCAATAAAAAAAAAGATACGTTAAAATAAATTGGTGATTTCATGAATATTTTATATTTAACTTTTTTTGGGTGTAATTTTTAGAGTGATTTTTTATTATGATGAAGTGGTTGTTGATGTTGCAGGGTGCAGATGACTGCCGCTTGCTTCACTTGCTGGGGTATGGCCCCGCGACCCAATTCCTCTGCTTACCTTTTCCTTTCATTTTTCTTTTTAAAAAATTTTTTTAATCGCATGCTCGTGTTTTCTTATTATTTATTTTAATAATATTACTCGTTTCCCTACCTCTTCTTTTAATTCTTTTAAAAAATACATTTACTCTAATACTCTTTCTCCTCATCACAGAATCATTATTCTTATTTAGTTCCAATAAAAAAAACATTAGTTATTCTTAAAAAAAAAACAGAGTATTTGAATTTGAATTTGAATTTGTCCTCTACTATTATTAAAATTGACGTTTTCTTCTTGAATCTAGTCTAGTCCCAAAGCCTGAACGGATCAAGGGATGCTCAACTTTGTAACAGAATATAAATAAAAAGGTTACGTTGCATATATATATATTATCATAATCTTTATCTTTATATGTATATGTGCACCGTTTTTTTTTTTTTTTTGGGGTACAAGTATGTATGAACACCAAAATTTAATCCCACGAGTAACGCACACAATTGTGTGATCCGAGAACCTTTCAAAACCTATATATATACTTATGGTCAAATTAATAAAGCCCTATAAATATATCTTTAGTTATAACAAAAATTGACTATTCTTATTTAACCCAATAATAACCTTTTTTCTCCCTATTTATATTTATATCTGCCTCAATTAAATTAGAAAATACTAGGATTGCGGACGCATCTGCATCACAAATATCAGTTCTAGAGTTTGGTTGTCTTTTGATCATCCAATTAATCTAATATAGTCTAATTATGATTATATCTTTCCTTAAGTCAATATTTATTTATTTTTTTGTAATTATTTGGGAGATCAGTCTTCAAAAAATGATTGCTTCTAATAATGGATCATCGCATTTGGAAAGTAACGATCGGTTGTTTATTTTTGCTAGTGTCACTAATTATTTAATTTTAATTTTTGGCCGTGGATTAGATAAACCTTTTTTTTTTTTGGGATGAACAGATAAACTTAATTCGTATACATCCCCTTCACAATTTTATTGGTAGTTATTTTGAAGCAATGTTTAAAATACATACGCAGCTAGCCCAATAATTGATTTAACAAACCTGTGAGATCACAAACTATAAAATAATAAATAATGCAGGAAAACCTCATTTTAATATCAGTCAAGTATACAAATCAAAGTCAATGAACAAATGTATCAAATATTATGGCATCCATTACGTATTGAGATTCCAAAAATGTGTCAAATCCTCCTATTCAATGAAAGTCTGAGCGTGACACAATAGAAATCGTCGACTCACTTGAATGGTTTCTGGGAATATTATTACAAGATACATTAATATAATATCAAAAATCACAACTGTACTTTTTACTATGTTCTATATCTTAATCCAACTATTCATATAATTACAGAGAAATAGTTAAAATACATTCTCACCCAACTGGCCATCGACTCACCATTTTATTTATTTATTGTGAAGCCATCATTGAAAATTCTACCATTGACACTACTAAAAGAGATTATTTGAGACACTCCAAATTGCACATGCTTAATCGGGGAGAAAAAAACGTATAAACACCAAGCGTTGCTACGGATTAATTAATTGCAAATCTTAATATTAATATTAATACTAATCCGTTAATCCCCGTGTAACCCGATTGAATAGAAGATCTAAATTAACTCCCATATATATATATGAACTAATATAAAAAATGATTGAATTAAGAAGAAATTTTCGGTCCTTGTTAAGAGTTATGCACACATATTTCAATTTTTTAGTTTATTTTGATTAGAATAATGAACTTCTTTTAATCTTTTCAGCTCACTAGTCATAAAAAAGTAATTATACATATGCCTTTAGCCTTTCATAAGCACACGTTATTTAGTTCTATATATATTTTTTCAAACTAGTTTGATTATATTGGGGGATTGATATGTGGAATATTTGGTATATATATCTAACTTTATGGTAGGTGGGTGCGAAAATCGGTTGCAGTATAAGTAAAGGTTAGGGAATAGAAGAAAGAGATTGAAAGGTGAATTGAAGGATATTTCAAATTTCATTTAGTATATATTAACGAAAATCAGATTGAATTTTGAAAAATAAAAATAATAATGACAAAATTAAAAAGAGAAAAAGAAAGTGGCATATATAAGGAGCAATTTGTCTCCGGTTTGGTCCCACAAATTGAGTCGGCTAATGTAAATCCTCTTGAATGTTCCCTCCTTCTTCACCCATAATTATTGATCGATATTAACTGAGAGATATATACTAATTAAATAGAGATAAGCTCTGTTAATGACGCATGGTGATGTTAATTATATAAGTTAATGGAGACAAGATATGAATATCTCGTTTCTTTCATGTTTTTGTTTGTTTATTATTGTTGCAGTAGGCCAGGCTAGTGGCTAGTGCATGCTTGTCCATTGAATAGAGCAACAACCTTGGCTTCTTCATGCCTCAAATTTTAATTTCCCATTTAAGTTTCTTAAACATGATTAATTATGTACCATCCATATTCATTGTATATAATCATAAAATTTAATCCATGGCGGCTGAATTGGATGGAAGCAACTGGAATATATCATTTTAAGCAAAGGGGAGGATAATGAACCTGTTTGACTTTGTTTTTAAAAGCTGTTGAAATTAAAAAAAAAAAAAACCTTGTTTGAGTACTTGTGTTGAATTTAATTTTTTTAAACTGTTTTATTTTTTGTTTTAAAAATAAAAAATAGAGAAATTTTAGAGTGGTTTTTTTTAAAATACTCTACTTTTAATTATTAGAATTAAACTTCCAGCAAAAATTATAGTCAATTATTATTATAAATTACCACTATTAATTAGTACTGACCACTACTATTAAACAAATTTTTAATTATTAACATATACAATCAAACAAATTTTTCTTTTCTTTTGTTTTGAAAAGATATTCTTAAAATTATATTACAAAACAACATTTAAAAATAAAACAATAAGAACACAATTAAACAAGCATCTTTTAATTTATAAACTTTCTCTCAGTTATCGATTTAATTATTAAATTTTACTTAGTACAACTCAGTTCTTATAATTTATTGAATTAATAAATTTTAAGTATTGAATTGTACCAAATTATGAAACTAGAACAACTGAGTTATTTCAAATTAAGAAATTATAAGGATAATTTTGAATTAAAGTTTAGGTATATTGAATTGATAATTGATGAAAATTTCAGGATTAAAAGTTACATTTAAAAATAAACGATGATATGAGGTTTTTTATTTTTTTTCCCATTTGAAGCCAGGCTGATGCGGTTCAGATAATAAGTCAAATTATATAATTCTTATATGGGGTTGACAATAATTGCCGGGATTTAAGGAAACTAATTGCTCCGGAATGATCAAGATTGGACCACTTACACAAAACAAGCTTGTGTCTTGGAGAAGCACAGTCGCACAACATAAAAATCAATAGCCAGTCTAGGTCTAGGTTAACTGAACCTAATAATAATATGTTTGTTTGGCATATTCCAATGCTACATTTTCACTAAACCATTCTATTTATTATCTCAGAGAAAATATTTTCTATTATGACAGAGCCTACTTCTTATGTTTTTTTTTTTAAATACTCCCTTCTTATAGTATAAAATACTTTTAAACAAAATCATATATATCAATAAAATTTATTAAATATACTTTACTACCTTACTTTTCAAGAAAAAAATATAAACTTTAAAAAAATTAAAAAATATCATTAATAAAACTTTATTTTTTTTAAAGTGTCTATATTTTGAGACATCGAATTTCTTTTAAAAATATCTTATAATTTAAAACAAAGGGAGTATTAGTTACATGTATAATCTGGTGACACTTTGGAGGAAGGGTTGGATGAAAATGGTCTTTATAATTAAATTAAAGGCTCCGAGGCATATATAGTGGTACACAATAATAAAGTAGTTATATTACAAATATTTCTTTTTTGATGCTTGATATATATGAGATTTTTTTTTTTCATTATTGTTGATAATCAAAGTGAGTAAACTTTTGCAGAGGTGGTAAGATATTTAAAAGGAATTGAGAAAACAACAATTCTTTTTACGTATATAAAATTCTTTTTTAAAGATAGGTGATTCATATTGATTTGTCTGTATCCCAGTCCCACGTAATGATTTATCATACCTAAACCAAATAAACAAAACACCCCAAATCTGATCGACTACACACATTTAATTTGGTTTCGCTTTTGCGGGATTAATTAATGTGTGTGTGTGTAATGTATGTGGGCATATGCATTATCTTCACTTTCACTTCATCACATCTTTTAAATAGCCGATGAGTTAGGCCAAAATAAAGTTGGATGAGATCATGGAAGTGTGTGTGTAAATTATTTTCCTTATAGTACTTAGTTTTTTAAACTCTTTGTCATAGTAA